CTAGGAGTCCATGAGAGACACATCTTTCCAATATCCCTCTCCTTAATCCACCCGCAGCGTCTGTCATCACACAAACTGAGACAGAGGCAGCGGAGCCAGCATTACAGTAAGCAGCTTGCTGAGCCAGCCGCAGGCATTTGCCATCTTCTGGCTGTGATCAAGACTGGACAAATTAGGAAAAGTGTCCATTAGCCTCATTCACCTGAAAAATGCCAACTCGCATTTTAAAAACTGGCCTGGCATAGGGTCAAGAAATGAAATCTGGTGGCAAATAGACAAGTCTGTGATGATCCACCATCTTGAATGGATCCTCAATATCCAATACCAGGATTTTCTGTGCTCAGACACATAAATCTCAGGCATTCATACTCTGCCAATATTTTAAGTCATGCCCACAAAGTGTATTTGAATAGGATTCAAGCTGATGAAAAGCAAGTTGCTACTTTTAAAGAGGCCTGGTGACCATGTGAATGCAGCTGATGGCTTCAGTCCAGCAGATGACATTCCATTAAATTAAAGACAAATTTGCCACCGCCATTCTTAGTGCCAGGAAAGGTGTGAAAGAACACGTGGCCCCTCCAGGATGTGCACAGCCATATTTCTGGTGCCACAGATGGCAGTTTGAATGGCTGCAGGTTTTTTGCCTTGCCTTTTCATAAGGCATACTTAGCCTTTGCTGTTTTCAGGGAGACATTTTAGATATAGTAAGCTTATGAAGAGACACATCCCGCTTGAATCATTTTCAAAACACCTCTTCTTTTCAAGTCACCAGCTCTCAGAGAAGGAGGGAAAAGAAGAAACGTTGAGCCAAAGCCCATAAGCAGATTTTTTTTCCTCTGTGTGTGAGATGAGCCTGGGAAAAGCAAAACAATTCATCTACCCAAGAGTGGCTTTGCAGGGAAAGGTTAAGGAATAATAAACAGGGATTTAGATCGCACCAGTTTACATGCATTTATGAGGGAGAAATTCAACACCCAGATAACAAATTCAGTTCAGGTTTTACTTCCTCTCTCCCTTCCTCTCCCTGCCCCCCCCCCTTAAAGATGACATACCCTTCCATTTGTAAATTACTTTAATTTAAATACTTCCAGGTTAACAAAACACCTTAAGTTTGACATGTCCCAAGTTACAAAACAGAAACAAAACCTCTTGACAAAGGGTAAGAAAAAAAAATATAATCCGAGCCCAAACCTCCTTTCCTAAGCTGGAGTTTATGGTCTGTGAGCTGGCAGCCCTCCAGAGTCTGACACAATGTCTGGAGCACCCAGAGCAGCTGGAATTAATTTTCTTCCTCCAAATCTATGCACTTTCATATGAAGTCGTGTTTTGGCACTGCCGCCCAAGAGAGAGTTCAGTGCAAAAAATCTAACCCCGGCCATTGTTTCTTTGCAACCCAACACTCACTGAGCAAAAAATGAGAAAGAAGAAGAGGACAAAAAAAAATTAGAGAAAGAAAAGCCCTTTCCCTTCCCCCACACATACACAGATGACTGTACCAAACAGGGGGGCTATTCATGGCTGTTCAGAAATGGGTCACAAGGAGAAATGTTTTGCAGATAAAACCAACACTTTTTTTTTCTTTTTTTTTTCTTCTTCCTTTTTTTTTTTTTTTTTGCCATGCCCGCAAGACAAATTTTTGTCATGCACT